GATTCAAAATGGTCAATACCAGTCCATTTCAGCTCACCAATGCCTAAGATATCAATGTTTATGTGTTCCATTTCATTTTTGACAATTTCTAATTTTCCCAGATTCATACTTTGTACATTCCATGTTCCGATTATTAATGGATGTTTACAGCTGCTTCTCTTCTTTGAGTTGTGCCCCATCAGCAAATGAAGTTCCCGAGGGCTTTTCTCCCACAGGCTTTACTCCATTCACATCATCACGGTCAACTCTACTTTAAGGAGGCAGCTCTTCCTCAGTCTCATTTTGAGTGCCTTCCAACCTGAGGGGCTCATTTTCCAGCACTATATCTGACAGTGTTTCTCTGCTATTCATAAGGTTTTCAGTGACTAAATATTTAGAAATGGTTTGTCACTCTTTCTTCCTAGTCTGTCTTCGTCTGGAAGCTCATCTGAAACCTGTCCACCATGGGTGACCCTGCTGGTGTTTAAAATACTGGTGGCATAGCTTCCAGAATCATAGCAACTCACAAGCCACCATAGTACGACCAACTGACAGACTTAAAAGATAGAGGTAATATATGTTAGTATGTGATTTCCACATAGATTTTTCTCTAGAGAGAGTCTTCATAGACAGCCCTTGCAGAAAAAAAGTTCCCTTGCACCTAAATCCAAAACTGCATTACATTGCAAGAATGTAAAGATTTCAGGTAAACCAAAATGTTCCAATCTTCTCCTCCTCTAATATTAACTAGCATTGCAACTGGATGCTTTTCAATGGTTTTAATCAAATGGTGTGTAAAGTTTGGGTCGGAACCAACTCCACAGCAACTAACAACAACAAAGAGTTCTTTGAAGTGAGGGAGCAATTGAGCTGGATAACAACTTTGGCAAGCTATACCGACCGCGACCAAGCCTTTTTCCAAATCCACAGGAACTTAAATGTTGTTCCCAACTGTCAGAAAACTATAGCCTACCCTACTCATCTTCCATCAAGTTTTCTTCACCTTTTCCACTTCTAGTCTAGTTCTTTTCCTTTCAGAATTGTTCAAGAAGAAAAATTCTCTAACAACAAAGGTAGTTTCTGCTCATATAAACAACAGCACCTCCAAAGATATTTGCTTTTGAAATTCCACTATTGGAGATTAGAGTTGAGTGAGAAATGTTAAAGATGTGGAAAGCCCCCCCCCCCCAAATTTTACTTCCCAGTTTTCACTCTTTATGTAGACTTCTTTTGCTAAAAAACAGAAAACAGGCAGAATTATGGCTGAAGCCCAAGGGGCAATTCTGTGCCCTGGGTCTGTCAACACAATTTTCATCTTTTAGTTAGAAAAACTGAGGTGAAAGGAGAACAGTAAGAAGAATAAGAAAGGGCATTCCTGGGAGGCCACGTGGACCTAACCCAATGAAAACATGTAAGAAAAGGAAACTGAAAAGAGGTACTGAATCTGCAGAGCCAACGGCTACCCTAGAACTTAATGTCCTAGACAAGAGGGTTTCTGATCTTTTCAAGTATTTTAACATAAAAATGTCAAGTTCTCCCAGGAAATTGGCCATATTTTTAGCATGAATTGGACACTACAAATGACAAAAGCTATGACAAAGCCAGTAGCTGCTTAAATAATTATACTGCATTGTTCACATTATAAGTACATATATAGACATAAGAATTTTTTTTTTCCAGCAGATATTTGTGGATACAACCAGATTATTTGCAGTAATTCTACTCACTTGCCTTCCAATGGTGCATTTTCAGGAGAGATGGGGGGCCTCCAAGGGCTAAGAATTGATTTTGAAGGGGCAAAAGCAAGCTTACTCTTTTTATATATAAAGCTCATATACATAGTAAATATTTAGTCATACAGTATATGTGAGGGTTATTCAAAAGAAGTATTGCTACTGGGGTTCCAAATGACCTTGGGGTGAGGTGGGTTATGAGTTGGGCTGTAACCACAGGGTCAGCAGTTCCAGTCCACCAGCTGCTCCAAGGGAGAAACATGTGACTTTCTGCTCCCATAAGGATTTACAGCCTTGGAAACACTATATAGGGCCGCTAGGAAATGGAATCCACCTGATGGCGCACAACCATCACCACCACTGCTGGGGTTCCAGTTCCTACAGGAATGGATTTATTCCAAACACAATGTGTTTAAACCTGTCCTGTGATCAGTGGATGGCTGCAGTCAAGTTCTCTCAGGAAGACATTGTCTTAGTCTCGTTATTGTTAAGTACCATTGAGCCGGTTCCAACTCATAGAGACCTTTGAAGGGTTTCCAAGGAGTGGTTGGTCAGCTTGAGCCACTGACCTTGAGGTCCAAACCAGCCTTGCAGTCCAGGAATTTCTCTCCATCCTGATAATGCACCTGCTTAGTTTTCAGGGGTAGCAAGGGCTGTCCTAGAAGAATTTCATTGGGAAATCTTACCCCATCTATCCTACAGTCCTAATCTGCCCCCTTCATTATTTCTTTTTGTTCCACAAACTCAAAGAACATTGAAAAGGAACATGATTTGAGTCCCTCAAAGAGATGGAAACATCACCTTCAGAAGTCTGTAGACCTTATAGCCTCACATTTTGATATTTTAAATAAAGTCTATCTACCCACTGACCTTTAGATGGGGGAAGAGGCAGGCCTGGCTGGTCTGAAGTTTAGGGAGATGTGTGAACTCCCAAGCCCATGGGCACTGACTTAGCCACTGGGGGCTAGGGCTGAGAGTGAAGTGGCCAGCTGGTCTGAAGTGTGTGGACTCCCAAACCTGCAGCTCGTACCCATTTGACCTAGCTTGGATGACTAGCTTATCAGAACTCAACCAGATAAAAATAAAGATGCTTGATACCATGAGCAAGTGTAAATTGCTACAATTCGATGAACTGGAAGGATTCTTCATATCAAGGAACAAGCGCATTTCCTCAGTGCACTGAGTTGATAGTGACAGACAGTCTAGGCATGGCTATCAAAAATGGGTGGCCCTTAACAACAACAACAACAAAATAAAGGCATGAAGTGTCTGGCTTACAAGCTTTCATTAGAGTGCTTAGTTTCAGAACAAGAGGGGTAAGGTAGAATCCCCACTGAATAATTTTCCTCTTTTCTAGATGGATTTGGTGAAAGAGGATGGGGATGATGGTGACAGGATTTTATGATTCAATTGTGAGTAATTGTTAACAGGATTAATCGTGAATGCCACAACTATTACTGTAGAAGATGTGTAACTAAAAGGAGGGAGGCATTAACCTTTCATTTCAGGAATAGACGATCCCAGGACCATCAAGAAGGAAGCAGAGTGGAGTGTGAGCTCCTACCTAGAAAAACAGTGGCCGCAGAGATGGTGGCAGAGGTGATGGCATGGAGAGATAAGCGTGGCAGCCGACTCTAGGCCCATGGATTGAGAAAGACTGTGTGTCTGCAGGCAGGAGACTGGTTTGCAAAATGTGCCCTTTGGATATTTAAATGAATATATAAATTTTTTGTTTTGTACATCAACTATTTTTGCTTTGTTCGTTTGTGAAATACAAGATGCAAAAGGGAAGCTACAGGAAGAAAGTAGGTTATCGGTTGTTGCAGGGAGGGGATTATCATCACTGAGATGAAACAAAGCGTATAATTTGTTGAATATAATATATAAACAAAGCGTATAGTTTGTTCTTGTCGGTTAACCTTCATTCAGTTCTCAATAAAAAGTTTAAACAGTTAAATAGTTTAAAAAAATAATAAAGATCTATTATTCTGTAGCAATACTTTTTGACTTACACTGTATGTGCTATTAGAATTTGATGGAGGAAGAGTGGGTGGGAGTTAGGAAAAGAAAAATCGACAAGGGGAATAATGAAGAGATTTAAAACCAAACAAAAAGGATGTGAAAAACTGCCCTAGGACCCTGAGGTATCAGGGGGAGTAGGAGTCAGGGGTTTCTGGTTTAGTAATAACTTGGGTCCGAAAGAGGTACTTTCCCCTCAGTGGACAAAAAACTGGGCAATTCGCTGAATTGCTTACTCCTGCATCAAAGTGCAGAGAGCAACGCCTGCCGTTGGTCCCCTTACAGGGTGCTGTGCGTGGATGAAACGCATCGCTGGGAAAGAGCTCTGGAAACTGCAAAGCGCTGCACCAATGCAAAAGGAGGCTCCTATTCTCTGTTGTACAAAAATCCCCTGTTGGGACCTTTTGCTTGCCTTAGGGTCCCCCTGGTTCCGCACTTGTTGCTTCTCTGCACCGCTGACCTCCCTTCCCTTCGTGATACCCTCCGCTCGCTACACGCACACATGTGGGCCCGGCAACTCCCTCACCCACACGATGAAGCCCACACGTTCCGCTCCAGCTCTGGCGGCTGCCTCTAGCCGGATCCCGACCCCTACCCAGGGTCCCAGCCCCCTGCCTGCGAGGCCGGCGTATCCTAAACAGCGGCGCCCTAGCTCCGCAGCCTCCTGGCTGCGCGTGCGGCCGGCTGGAGGCGAGGGCGCAGGCGCGGGCCCGGGAAAGCCGCCGGCACGAGGCCGCGCGCGCGCGTCCCCGAGCGCGGTGGGCGGAGGGGCGGAGGGAGCGGCGGGGCCGCGAGGGGGCGGGGGGCGGAGAGGGGAGCCCCGGGAGCGCGAGCTGCGGCCGGCGCCGCAGCAGAACCGAGCGAATCCGGAGCCCCGGCAGCAGGTATGTGTATGCTCGCAGGCGGCCGCGGCCGGGCTTCCCCCGCCTCGCTGCCCAGGTCCTGTGGCCGGGGCAGGCGGTCAAGGTTTGCAAGGGTGCGTGCCTGGGAGAGCTGGGATCTTACCACTGACCTTCATCCCCGCTGGCTGGCAGGGGCGAGCGAGCCTAGGTGCGTGGGGGCAGCCAAGGGCTTCAGCTCCAAACTGGGGACCTGCTACTTGTCACATGCCTCTTATTTATTTTTTGCAAACTGCCCTGGTTCGGGTCCAGCTGCAGATGCCTTACCTCCTATTCTCTGCCTCCGTGGGCCATCTTGCATTTATTAATAAAACATGCAAGCTTGGAGTGTGTGTGTGTGTGTATGTGATGGGGGGGGGGTGCTGCTGGGGGAAATCCCATTGCAGTGTGTCAAGCGAACTCCCTCCTATTTTTGGTTTTCAGACGTGGATTTGAGGTGGAAATCCCATACCCTGGAGATTTGTGGGTTGGTTGGTCGTGACCACTTCCTAGTGGGCTTCCCCCATTTGTCGGGAGGCGCCACAGCGACAGGATGGGCTATCAAGAAAGGATGGTGGGTATTCACCATCAGGCCAGATCTCATTCAGGGGACAGGGGCAAGCTATAGCAGACAGTTGCCTGCTTGCTAACTTACCAGGGAGGCTTAAACAGAAAAAATTATTCCTCTAGATTGCTGAAATGAGAGGCCTTGAACAGAATCCCCAAGACTTGCATACTCAAACTCATTAAAATTTTGCATCTGAAGATGACTAAAGCTAGCCACCTGTTGAAGTTAGACCCCATAAACTGCCCCCCCACATACATAACTCAGCCCACCAATTCCTGTTACATAGTCACCAATAAGGATAGGCCCATATTTGTTCATTCTGTCCTCCCTAGGGAGCTCCGTGGCTCTGTAGGATGAGCACTGGACTGCAAACTTAACGGTTGGTGGCTCCAGTCCATCAGACGCTCTGTGGGAGAAAGAGGAGGTTTTCTGCTTCTGCAAAGATTTACAGCCTTGGAAACCCTATACAGGGCCACTAGGAGTCGGAACTGACTCCATAGCACTTAACAACAACCAGCAACATCCTCCTTAACGCTGGTAAGCTCTTGTTTCTTTTCAAATAAAACCTTACGATTTGATGGCCCATATATTATGGATCAAAATGATAATTTGCTCATTTTCCGCACACCCCAAACATCATATTCTAAAGATTGAATTTCTCTGTAATGTATAGTATCTCTTTCCCTGGCTTTTGACCTTGCTTTTGAGCAATAGCCCGAAAGTGGGATGGTGTGTAACTGCTTAGCTTTCATTTCTTTCTTTTCTTTTTTTTTCTTCAAAATATCATGGTAAAAGAATTGTAAGATCTCAAAATACAGAATGAAAATGGTCATCCCAAGATGTTGGGATTTGGCAGCAGGACTGTAAGCACTTCTAAAACGTAGTCAGGATGCCACCTTTAATGGTGAGAAAGTCCTGTTTCTGAAAGGTTCATATGTACCAGGTACTGAGCTAGAAGCTATTCTTATCTGGTCTCATTTAATCCTCACTACAAACCTATTAGCTCCATGTTGATGATAAGACTTAGAAAGGTTAGTTAACTTGCCCAAGGTCACACAGTCAGGGACAGATTTAGGATCCAAATTCCACTCTGATTGCCAGTGGTAAGGGGTCTGTCTACATTTTCATAAAGATCAAATGGATGCATGAGTATATGGGCTTGGATTCAGTTTTCCATTTTATAGATTCCATAGGAACCTTTGTGACTTTCCCGGATGAGTGCATGTGGAAGTTTTTGAGGTGGCAGCCTATAAAAAATGGGGGCCATAGTGTATGTCTTTGAAACTTTCCCAAACAAGCAGTTAAGTACAAAAAGTTGTTTCCCTCCACATTTTAACCTTTAAAATATATAAGCATTGGATAGTATGAATCATTCATATTTTTTCTTTATCACATTCCACCCCAATCGTCTTGTCTGATCTCACTGCTAGTCATGAGAACACCACTGCCTATCACACTTCATGTCTGTGTTCCTGAATGAGGTGAAGGAATCCGTACCAGCTAGGAAACATCATCTAATCTTACTATGATGGTAACTGACTCAACAGCACTTAACAACGACAGCACACCTTTCTAGCAGTTCTTGTGGATTTAGTGAAAAACAGTGTAAGTGCATCAACAGATTATTCACCCGATGGGGCTACTAACAGTTTGCACTCAGGTAACATATTCGAGATATTCATGAGAGAGCTATAGGTAAGTGAGGAGTTACTTGAAAATTATATCCCATGTAAAATGCAGTTTTTAATTGATGAACCATTTTAGGTAGAAAATATAAAGACTGTCCCTTGTAGGCGCTCTGTTTTCTTCCTAAGGTTATATGAGTAGTTTTAGAACGTGATGATGTGACTTTTTTCCTTATTTGTTGACAGTAAAGCTGTCTTGACTCACAAAACAACACTTTGAATCTTGGAAGAGCACATTCTCTAGTGCTTATGGAAATGCAGAGATCTAGTCTTTCTGCCTGGAGATTTCCAATTTCTGATCAGATAAACTAACTGGGTCCCAGTGTTACTTGGTGGAGCAGAAGAAAAAGCAAGGAGAGGGCCTCACTTCATTTCTGGGGAGGAAGTGGGTGTTCCTATGAAGAGCATCCTTACCTTCTTCAGTTGGGAACCTCATAATTGAAAAGCATCCAAGAAATCGATCTCTCCCATCTAAGCAAGATTTTATTTAATGCAGATCTAACTTTGGAAACCCTATAAGGGATACTGTGAGTTGGAACCCACGGGACACACTTAACACCAATCACCACCTCCCTTTTGGTGCAAAGGTCAATTCAGGGAATGTAAGGATGTTTCTGGACTACAGTTTTCCCCCAGTGAAATGTATGTCTATTTAACTCAGAAAAGCCATCTGGGCAATTATGGACACTTAGGCACTTATTTTAAGGATCTCTGGTAGCGTAGTGGTTACGAATTGGGCTGCGAACCACAAGGTCAACAGTTCGAAACTACCAGCTGTTCCACTGGGAGAAAGATGAGGCTTTCTGCTCCCGTAAAGATTTACAGCCTCGGAAACCCTGTACAGAGTCGCTATGAGTCTGAACCAACACGACACATAATAACAATAGGCACTATTTTGGAGGGGGTGGGGAGGTGGAGGGGTGAGGTAATGGAAAGAAGGAAGTGGATTTTTTTTCTAAACCCTGTAACTAATATTCAAAGCAGTGCCTAATTGTGATGCATATTTGAATTCATTAGTAAGTAAACCTGACCCTGTATAAGGTTTCCAAGAAGTCACTGGTGAGCTTGAACTGCTGACCTTGCAGTTCAAACTGACCTTGCAGTCCAGAGCATCAACCCTCAGCAACACACCAGGACTCCGAGCTGGTATATTTCTTTCCTCCACTGAACTTCTGAAGTACTTAGTTTTGAGATGTGATTTGTCTTTATGGGAGTGATGGTGGAAGTTGTATGCCTTCCAGGCACAGTTCCGACTCGCAGTGACCCTGTGGAGGGTTTCTGAGGTAGTAAATCTTGACAGGAGCAGCGCCTGTGGAATGGCTGGTAGATTTGAACTGCTGATTTTTCTGCTAGCAGCCAATTTGTAATCCATTATGCTACCTGGGTTCCTTAACTTGTCTTTATGGTACCCCTCAATCTAATAAGGTATCCTCTCCCCTCAACTATCTTGAATCACAAAAGAAGTTCTTCATCAGTTTACTTTGAAATACTTGACTTTCATAGGTCTCTTTTTTCTTTCCCTGCTGGAAGTCCTAACAGAGGATTTAATTTTATTTAAATAAAAATGGTTCACAACCTACTCGTTAATTCATCCCCTTTCCAGATTAAACAAATCAGAGTTCTTAGATGCTGGCCAGGCACACCCATCATGTCTCCTCCTTCCTTAGTCCAGATTTCATCTGAGAACTCTATAGCTCCGTTTAACCCTGTTTGCACTCAGTTTCCCCATGGAGTCCCTGAGAGGCGCAAACTGTTAAGCACTTGGTTGCTAACAGAAAGGTTGATAGTTCAAAACGGCTCAGATGTACCTCACAAGAAAGGTCTAACAATCTAAAGCTTCTAAAAGTTCACAACCATGAATAGTCTATGGAGTACAGGTCTACTCTGCATACATAGGGTCGCCAGGCTTCAGTCAATGCAACAGCAATAGGTTTGGCTGATGTGAGGGTATTTTCCTCATATAGAAGACATAAGGGAGCCCTGGTGTCGCTATAGGATAAGCACTGGGAGTGTAAAGTCAGCAGTTCAAACCGTGGAAGAAAGATGAGGCTTTCCGCTCCTGTAAAGATTTGCAGCCTGGGAAACCCTATAAAGGGTGGCTATGAGTCGGCATTTACTTGATAGCAGTGGGTTTAATTTTAGTTGTTTTTAAAGTGGGATTGATGGATTGCACCAGGTCTCTTCCCCTTGGATTAACAGCTCCAGAGGATCGGGATTTCCTCTGTTTTGCTCACTGCCTGGTGTGTGGGTCAGTAGTGGGATGGGGGCTATTCAGTAGTAATGTAAGGCAGGGCAAAGAAGTCACCTCTCCTATGTCAGTTTCAGTCTATACGGTAATTTCTATTTGCAAATGCAATGCACGTTCACTGGAAAATTTCAAACAGTCCAGAAATAGAGTCAATGGTCAAAATCTTTGATAGTCTTACCATAGAATACTCCAGGTTTTTGATGCAGATACTAAAATGTTTGCCAACAACATTCCGATAGATGCATACTGTTTTGCCATTTGTTTCTTGCGTTTGGTAATATATCCTGGACTTCTTAGAGGGCCTTGAATGACATTCTTCTAAAAATAACAACCACCACCAAAAAGCCAGTTGTCCTCAGATGAATTCTGACTCATGACAACCCATTGTGTGTCACAGGAGAGCTGTGCTTCATAGTCTTTTCAATGACTGAGTTTTTCCAGAAGTAAAAAAATCACCAGGCTTTTCTTCCAAGGTGCCTCCCACTTAGATGCAAACCTCCAACCTTTCTGTTTGCAGTCGAAACCACATTAACTGGTTGGACCATCCAGGGACTCAAACATTCTTGTAGCCATCCCTTATTCTACCTCAGTGAAAGT